CCAGGCGGGTCTCGAACCCGTGGGCTCAGGCAATCTACTCACCTCAGCCTCCCAAAGTGCGGGATTACAGGCTGAGCCACCGAGCCCGGCTCTATTTTACTTATTTTTAAAAGATAGTAGCTAGACACATAAGAAGATAGCCAGTGTACAAAAGAATCACACATGGACTTTGCAATAGCGTCTACATTTTGTTTTAACCCTTCCTCTTTCCTACCCGCAATCGACTCTAGCACAGCAAAGTAGGTTCACTAAACTGAGTAACTCAACTCCAAGTAGGTGAGCATTCAATATAGAAGAAGCCTGTGCATTTGTAATTCATTGGTGAGATTTATCAAATGACTTCATGACTCCACCTCTTCTTACTCTCCTCCTCCCTGGCCCTTATCTCTCAGTTATTGTTCTTTTACTGCCCCCAATCTGTAGACACTCACAACTGTAAGATTTCATTACTTTTAGAGAATACACTATAGTACATCTACTATGAATAATTCACACAATACTACACTTGTCAAAAGAAATGAGCAAAGTGTATATCATGGTACCGGAGCCTTGATTTTTATTGTTTTTGCTCACTTACTCCCTCATTCTCCAACTCCAGTTCCTGTCACTGTGAATTAGAGTGCTTCTGCTGTATACAAATATTGTATTCTGGGTAATTAGATATTGTGATAGGCGCCTCCATAAATTACTTTAGCTGGTGTCAGTACTGAAGCAAATAAGAAGTTTTTAGTTCTGTCTCTAGTTTGGGTTATTTTCTGACCCTAAACAGTCTGACATAAAGGAGTGCTCTTCTTTGTCAAAGGCAGCCTTTTCGAATCTAACTGTCAGACACACTATTGAGCTGTGTGTTCAATTCTAATTGGCTGAGATCTTTTCAACTCGGCGGTTTCATCTTTAATGCAATGGATGTAAGATTATGTGCAGATCTTTTCAATGGGTTTTCCATACTGGTGATTAGGGCAGAGGGTTTGAACATAAGCAGGCTGCTGGCTATTTCTTCTGACCAATTTAAATTGATTCACGAAAGTCCTTTGTACCACAGGGAAAGGGCAGAACAAATCCAAGTGAGTGAGACAGCCATTGCCACACTTTCAGATGGAATAGTAAGAAAGGCTGGTGGGGGGGTGGAGAGGGGAAATGCTCTAAATACTGCAGAATTGGAGCTCTAAGCAGTCTGGCAGAAACATATTGCAACTTAACCAGTAGGCTCTGTGTAGGATCAAGGTCACCAGAAAAATGATTTCCGAGATTGATCCTGATATCTTTAGGTGAAGCGGCCCATGCAAATAGGAGGGATTCTTTGTTTCTGATCTCACTGGAAGCCATGGTCAGTAAACTCTTTCCTGAAAGTTTTCCAAAAGTAGGTATATCCAAAAGTGCTCTTATTCAAACAGACGGGCATAACTGTGAGACTCCCTTCCAGTTCATCTCTCTAGGTCCGTGGTAAGCCATCGGGACCGTTCTCATGTCATCTCTTTTCTTTTTTTTTGAGTTGGAGTCTCAGTCGCCCAGACTGGAGTGCAGTGCCGCTCCTGGCCACGGCAGCCTCGACCTGCTGGGCTCCGGCGATCCTTCTGCCTCAGCCTTCCAAGTAGCCAGAATTACAGGCATGCGCTACCACGCCCGGCTGATTTTTTGATTTATTGTAGAGATGAGGTCTCACTGCCCAGGCGGGTCTCAAACCCGCGGGCTCAGGCAATCCACTCACCTCAGCCTCCCAAAGGCGTGGGATTACAGGCTGAGCCACCGAGCCCGGCTTCTCATGTCATCTCTAACGAGGGGACTCCTGGTGGAGCTTTAGAGCTTCTTTAATTCTATCTCCCAATGACAGGAAAACCCTCAGTATGCCATATCAGTTAATCTAATGACTCCCTCTCCAAGGGAGAAAGGAAAGCACTTCCTTAGTCAAAGAAAACAGGGAGGAATGCATTGTTGACAGTATTAACAAGGCGGCTTCAATTATCTCTGAGCACATGAAAACAATGCAGTATTTCTCTAGCAAGAGAAAATAGCAACATTTCCATTTTGGTGTTTGACTCGCTTTGCCCAAGAACATATGCAAAACATCCATCTGTCTCATGGGCACTAACATTCAATTTGTTAAAATTCATGGTAATAATGGAATGCAACACTGATGCCTGGCACATTCATTGGAACAAATACGGTGACACATATGGCATATGTTACAAAGGCCAGTGGGCAAGACCCTCAAGCTAAAAGACCTTAGTTGTCATTTGAGAGGAAATCTTAGAAGCTTACACAGTGATTCATTGTTTTGTAAAAGTGTGGAATCCCGCAAAAAATAGAAGTGAAGCCAGTTTTCAACTATCACTCTCAATCAACTAAAAACAAACAAAGCCAACTCCCGTGAAGAGAGCTGCAGCAGCATTTCTGAGTTGCCTTCCGGAAGACTAATGCTCTGTAAACAGTCTTATTCTGAAACTCACGTTTCTGGAGAGACACTGAGAATCACGCAGGAAAATGCAATGTGTTGGTCAGATAACATTTAGTAAGGTCTCCGGAGACTTCAGAATGTTTAAGGTTTTCCAACTGATACTCATATATGGAACTACCTAGACTTTAAGAAATACAAAGTAGAAGACCTTTATACTTGACAAAATTGCAACTATGTATTCATGAAAAGACATGCACCCATCCATGTATGTGAATGGTCATAGCAGAGCATTTCTGATAGCCTCAAACTGAAAAATGATACAAATGCCCGTGAACATTAGCGTGCATACATAAATTGCGATAGAGTCACAAAACATTACACTCTGCAACGATAAGAATGAATGATCTACAGCTGCCTGCAACTCACGGAGTGTTGATTGAAGAAAGGCAGACACAGAGAATACACACCATGACATTCCACTTCATAGAGTGAAGGCCAGACGAGCCATGCCTCAGAAAGGCGGCGGTGACCTCCTCTTTGGGCGTGATTGGAAGAGAATGAAAATGAAGCTCGTAGGGCCCTGGTATGTTCCGTTTTTGGGGTGGGGGGGTTGCTGGGTGAGTTCGGTCTGTGAAAATTCCTTGAACTGTGTGGCTGTCATAGGTGCAAAGGTATGTCTGTTTGTACTCCTACAATACTCAATTACAAAGAAAAAAAGTCATAGCAGGGCCATATCCTACCCGTGACTTAGCATTCCATGTCTGTTTACTTGTTTTTATTGAAGTAACTGCCTGCCATTTTTTTCTCCGGCGGTCTTCAGACCTGTTTCTTTTCCTCGTCCGCATGCTTACTACATGCTTAAAGTAGCTCCGATGAAGTCCACCAAACTTCATCTCTCCTTTCATGGGCTTTCCAGTCCCCTTTTGCCAGGAAGCTTTTAAAACCAACTTGGTAGGCTGAGAAATCGTGCAGCTTAGCAATTGCACTTTTCGGCATGATCTTTTAGAATACTAGCATTTATAAAGAGAAATGTATTTCCCTACACACTTTAAATATCCTAAAACGACAATGCAGCGCAGAAAAGTTAAAATAACAGCTAAAGTGTTTATTTAAAATCTGGCATATTTTACAGTATTCAGTTATAACTGCATGATTTCTATGACAATATATACTGTCCCCTGTTACCTAAAAACATAAGTTCCTTAGGAGCTTATGTGCATAAGTGGAGTTTACTTATGAGGCACGACGTATCTCAACGAAAGAGCAAAAGTGCCATTTCGCCTTCTGCATGTCTCCAGGTACTTCTCTCTTAAACTGAAGAATTTGTTATCATCTTTATTTCTGAGCCACTCCTAGCTGCTGTCACTACTAAAATATCAATTATTAAGTATTTATTTTGTGTCACTCACTGTCCTAAGCAATTTGCACATGTTATCTCATTTAATCTATACAGTCTTATGAAATAGTTGTTCTTACCCTTATTTTTTGGACAAAGAAAATGGAACCCGGCGATATGAAGTAACTTGCACAAGGTCAAAGAATACTGTTTGATTTAACCTCAGGGGTTCTCAGTGCAGAACCCAAGCCCTTACCACTCTGAGCTCAAGTAAGCTGAGGTGTAAGCAATGATCGCTGGCTGCCTCACATTGTTACCAGCACAGGCATCACTAGCAAGGTTAGATCTGACAAATATTCCTCCTTTTTTACCCTGGTACTTGTTTCTTCTTTTAAAATTTGATCCCACGGTTAAAATTCCCCTACTAAGGCATAAAGATTAGCTCTGCGTTCACTCTGCTATCATCATCCATCACGATTGTATGTCTCTAGTACCTAGGAGTGGGACCATTCCCTTTCACTGTGCCAATACTGAGAATGCCTTCAGCCATCTGTAGCCCAGGAGTGGCCTTCCCAAATGACAGTCTGTTGGACCCTTTGATCTGGGGCCCCAGAGACTCAGATAAAATCTACAGAAGCAATGGGAGCACTGGAGTCAGGCAAGCAAAGGAATTCTTGATGCATTGACATAATATATGCACACAGTTCAATGCATCACCATAGAGACGCAATGATTAAAAATATACCTTTCTCATAAGCCCACATCAAACATGTCTGCTCATCCTTTTCACCACTGGACCTGCTGGGATCACAAGCTACTAGATTCATATCAGCTCCATTATCCAGCAAAAACTGAAGCAGGCGAATATGACCGTGGTAGCAAGCAGAGTGCAACCCTGTAATGGAAAATAATGAAAAGAACAAAAGAAGGAAAAAGGAAAGCTGTACCCCAATTTTTAAAAGACAGTTATCACCACATAATGGCATTGTTTTCAGAGATACAAAGTATAGATTGATTTCTTTGATAAAAAGTTAATTTTATTATTGAGCAAATAAGACACTAAGCAAGAGTATTCCATTTTATTTTACTTGATCTTCTATATAGACTGTCTTTTGCTCAGCACAATTTCTAGTATTTCCACGTCTACCATAATTACCAAGAATAAATGTTGGCATCTTTACACATGTAAAAGAACAAAGACCCCAAGCAGGTATTTTTTTTGTGCATCAAACCCAGGGCAGGGCAGTGTGGCCAGTCTGTTCCTGGTGTAGGTCATAGAGGGTATGTTAACTGCAGAGAATTTAACATAATGAAATTGGCCAAAAGTCAATCTGCTTTTCATTATCACCATCAATTGTAGCTGATACCAGTGGGTAAAATACCTTTCCCCACTGGGGTTTACTATGCTCAATGTCCTCTTTGACTCTAGCCACATCACTGTGACCAGGCACGATAAACATCTGGAACTCATGATGGTCTCACCACCGTCTTACCAGTGTGTCCGTCCCTTCCTTGGTGGTTGATACTTATAACATTCTGATCAAGAAGAAATTTAACTAGGTCAATGTTCTTCCCATAGGTACAAGCACTGCAAAAACACAAAGTAATACAAATGGAAGGTCCTTTTTATGGGCTAAATTGTGTCCTCCCCTCCCACAAAAAAACCTTATGTTGAAGCCCTAGCCTCACAATCTCACAGGTGACTGTAATTAGGGACTGCTTCTTTAAAGAAGTAATTTAATTAAAATGGGGTCATTCGTGTAGGCTCTAATCCAATATGACGGGTGTCCTTGTAAGAAAAGACGAAGATACAGATGACACATCCATAGGGACAACCAAGTGGAGACACAACAAGCAGGTGGGCGTCTTCAAGCCAGGGCAGGAGGCCTCAGAAGAAACCAAACCTGCTGACACCTTGATCTTGGACTTCCAACATACACAATGGTGAAATGGTGAGTTTCTGTCGTTTAAGCCCCCGCGTCTGTGGTGTACGGCTTATGACAGCCCTAGCAAATGAATACAGCCCTGATTAAAGCTGTGTGTCTGTAAGAGTGCCAAAGAAAAAGAGAAAGGAGACAGAAGGAGAGAGAAGAAGGAAGTCGGTGAGGAAAAGCAAGCAGGTGTTGTCATCTGTCGGGGGTGGATAAACACGTGGACATGAGCCATAAACTCTTGAAGATTCTCCCATCTGGACCTTCAAGAAAGGAATTATGTAAAACTTCTCATGTTTTCTTATCCAACATTTTCTATGATACGAGCTCTTCTTCATAAAAGGAGGAAAGGTCTTCTTAAAGTTCCATGTATTTTTAGCTGCAAGAGCTAAGAATTATTTTGCAAGACAACTGAATGATACACTCAGGAGGGTTCTGAGAGCTTGAGTCACCTCCAGGTCACAGTCTGAAACTATTTCCTGGAAATACGATCCACTGTCTTTCTAGAGACTTCCTTGACTAGGGGGTAAGATCTCAAAGCTGCCATTTTACCAAAGGAACATCGGTTGTGAACTCAAAATCCAGAGCTCTGTCACATCCAAACAGAGGACCTCAAAAAAGTTATTTGACCTCTTTGAGTTTGAGTTTTACCAGCTATAAAATAGTGATAAATAATACCTTCTTCATTTGCCAAACTGTTGCTGAAATTTCAAGTGAATTCATGTTTATGGAACCACACTGCAAGTTACAGAGGACTGTTCGTTATCAGCCATCTCCAGTTATAAGAAATTTTTGTGGCGAAATTAACATATTTCAGGACCCAAAGAAAATAATATTTTATGGATACTTTTTACAACTAGATGTGTTGAAGTACTTAAACTGAAATTCTGACTTCTACTGTTTACTGGGAAAGCTAAGGTGCATAGAGAAAAAAATGTATAAGATAAATCATTCCTAGTCGTGCCTACTGGATTTTATTTTTGACTAGTAATTGTCGTAAATTTTCTTTTCTGGTCGTTTCCCTCATACTTCGGCTTTTGCTATCACTTGTCCACCACCAATCCTCTACTTCTCAGTCCCAGAGAGCTGTGAAGTATGGACCAGGTGACTGGAAGGAGGCGGCCCTGGGCAAAGCCCCGACCAAACACACCGTGGCTAAAGGGAACAGAGAGTCTTGGTCCTAGAAGGAAGTGGTGGTTCACGGGGTCTCGCCATTTCCTCTTCCTGGGAGGGCCCTGCCCAAGTTGCCTTTCTCTAGTGGAACGCCATTCATTCCTCATCCAGCTGAGCTGTAGCTCCCACCGTGCAGTAGTCCTATGAGCCAGGAGCAGAATTCATTGCTGTCGCCTCTGTTCCTTGTCGTTTCTGCCTCGTGGCACTTAACCACTTCCTGTTATGGGAATGAATACACCCCATTTACCTTGCTATCTTACAATAGAGTTCCTTGAAGAACAGAAGGGATCCCGTCATCTTAATGTCCCCATGACCACCAACGAAAGGCAGGTCTTTAGTAACTTCTTCTTGAATAATTGAGGGAGTAATAAAAAGCGACCATCTCAGTGCAACATATTATATCACCGTCAACTATCTGTGTTATAAATAGGACCCATAACAGTACACGTTTAATATTGCATTGTCTGAATTGATCCATTGTTCCTGTTCAAAGCAACTACTTAAAGAAAACAACAATTTGGAATATATACATATATATGTCTATATACATGCACAGGCATGTGTAACATAAATGTTTATATATACATATATGTGTATACAGAGATTACCAAAATGTACACACATTTTAAGAAAGGGAAAGACTATATTAAAATTGTAATACTCAATATATACTGATAACAAAAGATGCATGTGAGTCATGCTTGACTCCTGCATTTACGAGAGGTGCTCAAAGTGATTTCCATCAGTGTCCAGACACTTCTGATGATGGTGACCTAAAAGTGATACACAGATAATATCTCTTAAAATGTGTATAAATTTTTTGGAGTCCCCGGTATATGTGTGTACACATATGAAAGCAACAACACATGTACTGAGTGCTTACTGTGTAAGCATAGAAAATTTCACATTCAGAGTGAATTCCTCATGTGAAGGAGTTTCTTTTATAAATATGTGCTTAAAATGAATATACTAAAATATGATTAGTCTGTTATTCCTTGCAGCCAAAGGCTTACACAAAATAAAACAATTGGGTATATTCCTTTAACTCACTTCACAGATATTCTCATATTGACAAGCTTCTGGAGGTGACAGTCACCTCTGATTACAGCTGGTTCCGATTTTAGTGCATGAAGCATCAAAATGATTTGAAAATTGGCCTGAGGTGTCAGCCGCAACAGGCATGACCTAGCGGGGAGAGAATGCCGGCGACCAGAGTGTATCAGCCCTGCAAATGTCCCCTGCAGGGACAGAGTACCCGTGTCATCTGACGGAAGGCGTGATCTGAGCGTGCTTGCATCTGCCCTGCTATTGAGTGTGTAGAACACAAACAAAAGATTGCGGTGCTAGAACAGGAAGACATGGAAAAGATACAGGATTCGGAATTAGGCAGGCATTTACTATGTTATTTTGTAGCCATGAGAAACTTTGGCAAGTTACTGAGCTTCCTTAAGCCTAGATATTCTCATCTGTGAGAGAGATGATACATCGAACTTCAAAACATTGTTACAAAGATGAAGTGAGGTCATGGATGCAAATCATCTGGCAGAGAGTTGCTACTCCCTAAAAGGTGGTCTTTCTTCTCCTCCCTTTTCACTGACCTCTTTAGTCGAAAAATCTGGGAATCCACGTGGAATTTGACAGGCAGATGCCGGGTGCAGAAGCACAAGTTTAACTTGAGTTCAGTCTGAAAAGGAGCTCCCTCGTGTCCATTGTACATCAGTGCAATACAAACATTATGCAAACCACAAATTAGTTTCAAATACATTGTTTAGAAGTTGCCAACTTACCAGGAGTTAAGCAATGTGAAGGTAAATGATCTTACATGTAAGAGTTTCAGTACATTTAAATTACCATGCTTTTATTCGTATAGCAAAAATGAAGGCTTTACATTTCATAAAATGGCCACCTTCCTTTTGGACATTTTCGAAACTATGCCTGAGTTATTAAGCAACTTCTCTCTTTCTTTCTTTCTTTTGTTTTCCTGGTTGCGACTTCTCCAATCCCAGCGGCTCTTACAGTGTGCTTTTCTAGAACACACTGTGAGGGGCTCTCATGGATTCCTTGAAAAGAGCTCACGCCTTTTTAGGTGTCTGAGTGGCCACCCTGACGATGCTTTTGCAGGCTGGCAGATGATATCTTAGGTAGACACACTTGCATGCATGCTTTAAGTGGTAAGGAGAAAAGTGTCACACTTGATGCTGATGAATTCTGGTAATGAGATGCTTGTCGGAGGAGACTGTGGTCACAGCCTTTTCTGGCAGCTTTCCTTGGAGTGAGGAGGAAGGGAAGCAGTGTGCTTACAGATGTTGATGAGCCTGTTGCCTTGGCAACGTCAGTTCCGTCTTTGTGGCTGCTGCCAGGAGCCCAGCATCTGGCTCCAGCCCATCTGTTGCACTGACTGCCACGTCTGCCACCGCCTTTTCTTCTGTGCATTTCGAACGGGCTCTTTGTCCTCTTGCCCTACCTCTGCTATCGCTCTCTGATTGCAACATCTGCCACTATTTGTTCCTGTTTTATGTACACAACTTCAGGGGCCTTGGGGTGCCAGCTAAGTTTAGTGGCTATTGCACTTAGATATTCTTTTACCTGTGGAAAGCTGTTTCACTGAAGATATTTTCCTTTGTCAGGCTCTCAGTTCCTGATATTTGGATGATTTCCTTGGCGACTTCAAATTTGCCATTGTAGCATGCCCTAGATTGGAAGAAAATGCCTTGTTAAGAGGAAGATGTCAGCCTGGGCAATTTGGTGAGACCTTGTCTCTATAATAAATCCAAAAGAAAAATTGGCTGGGTGTGATGGTATATGCCTGTAGTTCCAGCTACTTGGAAGGCCGAGGCAGAAGGATCGCCTGGCCCAGCAGGTTGAAGCTGCGGTGGCCATGAGCGTTCCACTGCACTCCAGCCTGGGCAACAGAGTGAGACTCCAACTCAAAAAAAAAAAAAAAAGAGGAAGACGGTACACACAGTCTACTTGGGAGACCTATAGACCTCTACCACATACTCACAGGTGCAACGGGGTGTCTCCATAGATATTAGCCACGTGAGGCTGAACATCTAGACCACTCTGGAGCAGGTACTTGACGATATCATGGTGTCCAAATCGCGAACAGAAGTGGAGTGGGACATGGTCTTCATTGTCCTGGGCATTCACTGTCACCGGTGAGAAAGAAAAAACATATGTGGTCAGTTTCTCAACCTTCGCATGTGGACATTTCTAAGTGCTCGAGAAACTCTTGGAAATTGCTAGTTAACGATAATAATAAAGGAAGTTAAGTGCAACCAATTAAAAATGTTATAATTCTGTTCTATTGCCTATTACCACATTAAACAGGCTTTCTTCTAGCTCCCGTAAATTCTATGAAATGCATCTAATCAAATCTACCTCACACAGTGAGGCCATTCAGGAAATGAATCAGCATCCAAAAGGTGCTCATAATCTTATTTCCCCAAGTATTACCTTTCAAATGGATTTTAATTTTTTTCTGAAGGCTGTTAAAATTACAGATCCTGGCTGGAGCTTCATACCCAGAGATTTTGGTTCCATGGGTGAGACCAGGGCCTTGCAAGCTGTATGATTACGGCACTGTTTAGGAGGCCAAGGGTGATGCACTCCTTCAGCTGAAATTGGCCATCCTACAAGCTTGCAAAGTATGGTATGATGAAAGGAAAAATGTTTTAAAGGAGTCAGGCCACTTTCATTGTGCTACTTTTTTTTTTTTTGAGTTGGAGTCTCACTCTGTCACCCAGACTGGAGTGCAGTGGCCGCTCCCGGCCATCGCAGCTTCAAGCTGCTGGGCTCCGGCGATCCTTCCGCCTCAACCTTCCAGGTAGCCGGAACTATAGGTATGCGCTACCATGCCCGGCTAGTTTTTTGATTTATTGTAGAGATGAGGTCCCGCCAAGTCGCCCAGGCGGGTCTTGAACCCGCGGGCTCAGGCAATCCACTCACCTCGACTTCCCAAAGCGCTGGGATTACAGGCTGAGCCACCAAGCCCGGCCTCATTGTGCTACTTTAAATGAGTTATTTAAAATTCCGTTGTTCACTTACTAGTGGATTAGTGATCACTTTGTCAGCCTGTATAGGGTGTTTTACTGATAATAGAAAATAATAGCCCTTTATAAACCCCATTCATTTGCATTCTTATGTGTATCTATAATAGAAATTCTCTGCACTAGAACAGCAGTAAAAAAAAATATATATTTTTAAAATTATGAAGGAGGGGAGGGAATTACTACCGTTGCTGTACTCTAATAATTAATGGGCACTGATTTGTGCCTTGTACCTGCGCTTCTCTTTGGACCAGCCTCATAACCTCGTCTGACATTTGGGTGAGTCCCTCCACTGCAAGCACTGACCGCAAGCAGAAAATGTACTTTCCAAGGTCTCTTGGCAGCCAGAGCACAGGATTAGCAGACAGCAACCAGAGATCCTGCTTTAGGCTTGCAATTCAGGGGTGATTCTTAATAGTGACCCTCTTATCCTCAAGAGATCCCTGGTCTGGACTCCTATGGGTAGACTCCTTCAATCAACATACCATGTGAGACTCTGACTTCAGAGGCAGTGACATGAAGAAGCAGAGTGTAATCTCTCTTGGCAATGTGACAGTGATGGCAATAGCTCCATCCAATTTCCAGTGGCAGCTGTTCCAGCCACAGACCCAGTGCCCTGTGTCGTTGGCACCAGACGTGCAAGGGCCAGTGTGCGTGCCTAGCAGGGGTGGCAGAATGTCTTTACGGACAGCTCTGGGGATGAGTCTGGGTGTTGCTTCTCACTGTGAGTATTCCAGACCTGGTTTTCTACCCTGTTTTGGGAAAGAGCCTGTGTGCTACTTGATATACATTTCCTTTAATATATTCCTTTTATGCTCAAATCAGCAATTGTTCATTTCCAGGACCTGAAAGTAAGAAAAGTTGATCAATACACTGGGTCCTCATCAAGTATCAAAGGATCACTAAGCACCAGATGCTAAGCTGGTGTTGGAGGTGCTGACATCTTATCAGCAACAATGGACACAATGGCATCATTGTTTCAGGGATGCTGAAGAGATTACGGGAGAGCAGGACCGAAAAGCATCTGTCTAGCATGATGCCTGTCACATATTAGATACTAATAAAAGTTACCCTATGCTTCTACTTACTTTCCCCTCAGAAATGTGCTAAGTCCTATGACCAATCCATAAATGGAGTCCATACCCACGAATGACTTACAGTCTAGTTGAATAGTCAGTAATTACAGGCCTGAAGTGATAACAACTAAATACCAAACTGCTCAATTCCGGACCTGGCTTTAACAGTTCTTAAAGCTAAAATAATTGGATTCACGTCTCTAAAGCCACTTGTTTTTATTATTGATCACTTTGTCAACCTATATCGGGTGTTTTACTGATAATAGAAAATAATAGCCCTTAATAAACCCCATTCATCTGCATTCTTCTGTGTATCTATAATAGAAAGTCTCTGCACTAGGACAGCAGTAAAGAAAAAATATATATATTTTAATTTTGAAGGAGAGGAGGGAATTACTACTGTTGCTGTAATAATCATCTAACAGTTAATGGGCACTGCTTTGTGCCTTGTACCTGCTATATTTGTAGACAGCCATTCTCATTTTATTGTTCTGCAGAGTTTTAAGCCAAAGGGAAATCTTTAACAAAGTCACTGAACTTCTCCTCCCAAGGCTGTTATTGAAAAATACATCTTTTTTTTTTAAATTAATGAGTGGCTCAGAAACACACCTTTCATTCAGAAGAATGTTCTTGGTTCTTTTGATTCTCTCCCTTTTCATAAAACTTTTTCTTTGTTCACTTTCTGCTCTAAGCCAGGGGAATCAATGCCACAAGTCAATGCCTGAGAACAGCCAGGAGTCCAAGCCCCTAGAGGGTGGTGTAAAGGGCTCTTGAGGTTCAGAAGGGAACTTGCAAAGCAGAAGAAAGTGCAATCTTCCATTAATTTGCAGCTTGCCTTTGGCCCTCCCTGACCCTACCTAACATTATCCTTTGCCAACTGAATCAGTAAACTTCAAAGTGCAAGGGGGGGAACCAAAAAAATCCTGGAGTTTATTTATAAAAATTGTGTATTTACTTTCACATATTAAAACTTCAGTCATCTTCAAAGTACTCTTCATCTGATGCAATATACATATCGAGATGCTTTTTCCACTGCCTACTACAGTGTTTAAACTTGTCAATGTTGATGCCTTTTCGTGCGTCTGCCATTTTGGGGGCTTTGACCTCTTACCATTGGCAAAACATTTTCCTTTGAGGACTTTTTTCATCCAGGGCAACAAAAAAAAGTCACCCTGGGTGAGATGGGACGAATAGGGAGGGTGGGGCATGGAAGCCATGCCGTTTTTGGCCAAAAACTGCTGAACACTCAGCACAGTGTGGGCAGGTGCGCTCGCCAATCACCCATCATGAGATGGGCAAATGCATTGGAGGAATATAAGAAAGAAAGAAAGAAAGAAAGAAAGAAAGAAAGAAAGAAAGAAAGAAAGAAAGAAAGAAAGAAAAGTGAAAAATACACTGAAGTCAAATGTAGCCTCTCACAACAATGCTAGCTGGTTCACTGATGCCGATGGATTCCTAGAACCCTCACCTAGTACCCCTGCTACACTAACTGTGATCTCCTTGGCTTTGTCTCAGACCAGTTTGCAAAGACAAAATAAAGTGTACATTATTGCATTTTACCTCAAAACACTGAATGTATAAATAATATTCTCTTTGCTCTAACTTGGCTTCTTATTGAGAGAATTAAATAAAGGAGAACTTCAAGCAAAGGAATATATGTCAGTTACTATTAGGAAAATATCTAGTGCCCGGTCCTGTATTTTGAAGAAAGTAGGTGTGCAGTAATATCTTTTGAAAGAAAGATTGGATGAATGGATGGGTGGATGAGTGCTGCTTCTCCCTTATTTCTGCTTATTGATCTTAAAGATAAACTAAAAATTTCTGGATTAACCTAGAAATATCAGCAAATCCCAGAGGATCTTTAAAATATCTCCCAAATATGCTTTCAATAACAAATCTGTGTAATAGCTTCAAAAAGATATATTTCAAAAAATAAAACATTTTCTCTTACTGGGCATGTCCTAGAAATCTATTTATGGCTTTTAAAAATATCTAGTTCCATGTTAAAGAATTGTGTCATTTAAAAGCAATGCAGTATTTAACCTTCTTATAATGAAAATTAATGATTTCTGAATTTGAATTCTTCTGTTTTCAACATCATCAAAGTGATACATTTTGAGGGCTGTATCACTATTTTTTTCTTATGCTGTCCAGCGATATTTTGACCTTTTTAATCTCATTCAATAAGCATTACATTTCCCCTTTCTCATTGCCCTAAGAGATACAAGGAAGCAGACCAGAGGCTTAAAACATACCCACTTGAATAGGTCAGTCTCCCAAACATGCTGGACCGAAGAGGCTGCTTTCAGAATGACATTTTGGGTAATTTTGTAACCTGAATTTATTTTCATTTGTGACATTCTGTTGCCATGGAAACATACTGTAAATACTGGGGTTCAAATTGTACTCCTTCTGGGGTCATTTATTTAATCTTCCTCTTCAGTCCATTTACCACAGGCAGGGTCCAGATCTAAAATATGTCATCTGGAGGCTTGGCTACATTCTGAAATAAGTAAACTAACTGATAAGTCCTGCGCAATGTCCACTGGCACAGCACATCTTCTGGTTTATTTTCTGCAATCAGTTGAAGTGTGAATGGGACTTAAATATCAAGCGTCTGCTAGAAGGAAATAAAAATACTTAAAAATCTGAGTCATGCTGTCTCTTGATTTTTTTTAAGTGGTTGAGTAGGAGGTAGGTCGTACTCGTGAGAGCCAGAAAGATGTTAAAAATTACATCCTATGATGCTGGTATGTAAAGGGAATATGGGCATAGGACACATTTCAATGCCTTTTGCCGAAGAGTCCTTTGATCCTGGAGACATGCTGATCATAAATGACACTCATTTTGACACTGCCGAGCTTTGGAGTTGTGCAGAGGAATAAAAAGCTAAGGTTGGAATCAATAATAAAAGGAAAAAGTGATGTGGTTCCCGACCCTTTGGAAGAGTGAGGCAGTTTCAAAAACACAATTATGTGCTCAGCGGTTCACACAGGTGTGCCTTTGCCTATTGTAAAGCAACAGAATGAAAGGGACTGCTTAAACAAGGTCCGCAGACCAGCGTCCTTCACCTCTTGAACACAGGTTGTGTATAATAATGTTATGGAGGAGATGCCCGAGTGACTGCGCTTGGGCTCACAGAAAACAATGCAAACTCTGCTTCTTACATTTTACAGAGGACGGTGGCACCTGCTTCCAGCCTGGACACTGGAAACTGCCCCAGCTTCTTGCCACAGTTGCATCTATGAGTCCTTGTGTTTTCCTTATGGTAGGTGAATGCATTGATCAGCTTCGTTAACTAAATATCACTCTGAATTTTGGACCAGGGAACTGGCAGTTCTGAGATTTGACAGCCATGTCCTTTTGGAAATGCGTATTGTTCCTGCTGCAAAGGCCAGCAGCTCTTACAGTTGGGCTTTTAATTAGGTCTCTTGGGGGTCAATGGAAGAATGTTGGATATGCCTGAGAGAATTTAATGGCAAGATGGAACTCTGAGTGAATTTTTGTCAAAAAATAAAGTTTGTAAGGAAGAGTGAGAGACATAAATTTTCCAATACTCTACTTTTAACCAACTTTCCAAAGCTGATTTTATAATTAAGAAAATAAAAAGTTGAGAGAAATCTATACCAGTAACTGTTTCTTAGCTGTTTTCCGAACTGATCACATTCAAACTCTCTCTCTATTAAAATATAGCAATATATGATACCAAATATTGGTATTGTAGGGTGCAACTGAAACTCTCAGATATTGCTAGATATCTCTCAGATACTCAAGAGAGATGAATGCCTATGTCCATAAAAATAAGTGAATAAGATGCTGCAGGGAACTGTATTTATAATACAAAAAACACTAGAAATATTTATAATGTTCATTAGGAGGAAAATGGATACACAGATTGTTGTGTATTCATGCCATCATCACTGATGATATATAAAGAACACATAGTGATTCCTACAACAGCATGGATAAATGTCCAAATCTTGTTGAGCAAAAGAAGCCAGGCACAAAGTTACATAAACTTCAAGACCAGACAAACCTAGTCTATAGCAATAGAAGGCAGAACGTTGATTACCTTTGGTGGTCAGGGCTGTTTACTGAGATAGGAGCACAAGGGAAGATTTCAGAGCAATACAATCTTCTAAATCTTGATCTGGGTAGTTTTTACATGGATGTATACATAAGTAAATATTCATCAGGCTGTATGCTTAAGATATAAGAATTGTGATATGCAAATTATATGTAAATTATGGTTCAATTTTAAAGTAAATTAATGAGTGGCAACAAATATGATAAATTCATCCAAGAAAATCCCTCACTTTCACTGGAGCACCTAATAGATTAAGAATTAAGAGTTGCCGGGCTCGGTGGCTCAGCCTGTAATCCCGCGCCTTTGGGAGGCTGAGGTGAGTGGATTGCATGAGTCCGCGGGTTCGAGACCCGCCTGGGCAGCGAGACCTCATCTCTACAATAAATCAAAAAATCAGCCGGGCGTGGTAGCACATGCCTGTAATTCCGGCTACTCGGAAGGCTGAGGCGGAAGGATCACCGGAGCCCAGCAGGTCGAGGCTGCGGTGGCCGGGAGCGGCCACTGCACTCCAGTCTGGGCGACAGAGTGAGACTCCAACTCAAAAAAAAAAAAAAAAAAAAAAAAAGAATTAAGAATTGAGCTAAAACATGTAAAGAAGGCTTAATACATACATATAGGCTTAATAAATAAAATCAGCACATGTCTTTAGTATTAATCAACATCAACATTAATCTATAACAGGTACAGGAAGTACAAGTAAAATGAATACATGAAGTAAACAACAATAAAGGTCTTCCAAACACATGACCTTACCATCTGCTTTGTTGCCTTCTTCCATCAAGAGTTTTGTAATATTAAAGAATCCTTTTGCAGATGCCAGGTAGAGGGGCCTGTCTCCAACTTCACCACTCACATTTATATCAGCTCCAAATTTCAAAAGAAGGCGGACTAACTAAAGGGTATGTCCATTTGAAATTAGTACTGAAAGTCAAGCAGTAATGCAAATTTTTCGGCAATATATAACAAATATAACGAAGGCCTTCTCTTTTCATCTGAAAATAACAAACTGTTCTAAGTCAACTGGCCCAAGTAATAAGAAATGCATTATTATATTACCCAGCAAGCAGTCCCAAACTGAAGCAATTCCAGGGTTGACTAATACAACGGCTTGTTAACACTGTCAGAACTCACATTCTTTTCATTGTTCTCTTCTTCTGCCATGGTCAGCCATGAGGATGGATCTCCTCATAGTAGCAAGAGAGCTGCAGCAGCTCTGGGCATTACAAACCAAAGTCCACAGAGCAAAGTGAAAGACTACCTCTGCCTTATGGAACAAGGCAGTACAAGGCAGTATACAAGGAATATTTAAAAAAAAAAAAATCTAGAAATTCTTTCTCCAAAACTCTTCAGAAACCATCCTCCTATATCCCATTGGCCTGGACTAGGCCATCTGCAACTTTCTAAACCAATCCCTGGGCCAGAAAAAAAAATTAGAATGAGTGGCTCCAATTAATTAATCTAGGGATAGAGACACTTCCTCTAAGCACAAACCCAGAGGAAACAATCACAAGTCTGCAAGCAAAGAAAAGTCTATAGCACAAAATAGCAGTAGCTGAAATAATTGTGTTTCCCAAGCAACCAATAGTGGCTGCTACTGGCCTTATAATATGCAATGAATCTTTCAAGTTGAGGGGCCGCATGACCTACTGATTAAGAGTTGGGGTCCAGAGTAAGATAAGTCTTGGTTTGGATCTAGAATACGATTGATATTAGTTGTGTGACCTTGAGAAAAATTAGTTAATTTATCTAAACCTAAGTTGTTGTTTTTTAATATGTACCATGGGAATAGTAATAACACTGAGTGCATGGTTGTGGTGAGGGTCAAATTAGATAATATGTTTAAAATGCATAGCACAATGACTCACAAATAGTATACGTTCTGAATTGTTATTTTTCATTTTTGTTGGTGAACTGAGGCGATGCTGTTTATCATTACTGTTTCAGAGTTGTTGGACGATTAGGTGAGAGAAGAGGGAGCTTGGAATTCTCTCCATATTTTCTGTCCTTGAAAACCTATTTTTGCCATTTATTTTCCTCAGTATCAACTCACTTGTCAATCTCGTAACATAGACTTCCGTTGCGCCCAAGTAATCCTCCCTGGAATCACACATCGTCTTCTCTGAACAAGCCCTTTCAAGGTTTCTTTCTGGCCGGAGCCAGCAGTAGTTTGCTTCTTCTTGATTTTCTTGGCAACGCCATGCATAGGCCACCGCTGGCTGTCTTGCTGCTGGAGCTCTGAGTCCTCCTCTGGGTGTGTGAGTGGATTGTAGAGAGCCATAGTAGCCCGGGCGTCTTCCCCAATTGACTGAGACTACATCCAAAGGAGGAGGAGGAGGGATGAAGTGATGAAGAACATCTTCCTGGGGTTGTTGGAGGTAACCTGTGGCATCCCTCTGAGTCATTTGCATATATACTGAAGAACTTTCGGAACCATTTCTCTAAACCTGACATTGCCTCCCCCGAAGATTCCAAAAATTGCCTCAGTGATTCTAAGGGGTAAGTTAGGATGTGTTTGAATCATTAAAACAGCAGTTGTCTTGGCCCCTGAGGTGTCAGCGTAAAAGTGAATTCAGGCTTTAAAGCTATGTTTGCTCCCTATGAGTGAGCAAATAAACACATCCCGAGTTGAAACGTCTCAAGAATACGGTAGATATTTAATAGAAATTCTAGGCAAGATATCGGCTGGGTAGTGTGTGAGGAAACTGAGTTTGGACAAGAACAAGCGTTCTGAAACCAGGCTGTGTCAGCTTGAACACATCTTTAACCCATTGATGCTTCAATTTCCTCATTGCTGAAATGGGATTCATAATGGTTCTACTTCTTGGCGTTGTTGTGAGGATTAGATAAGTCAACACACATACGAAGCACTTAGAAAAGCGCCTGCACTCCACAACTGTTAGTAAGCATGGCAGCACCAACTTGGAGCACGTGCCTTTTAGCTCTTTGTTGGCGAATGGGCAGATCATGACTTAATTCGGGAGAAATCAGAGCCGCAGAAGTTTAGTCTCAAGAACCCTGCACTCCTAAGCAGATATTTTCACTTACACAGACTCCATAAATCCCGATTATGTGACTTTATAAAAGACAGATCTAAACTATCTCTGAAATCGATTGTCTGTTAAGCACTATTATTGCATACCTAGGAAATACTGCGCTCAGTACAAAATGTCTACTCTCCCACTTAAAAATAAGTAAATAAACACACGGCAAGGAACACGGTGCGTGAGGCACATTTATATATTGAACGCACTGTTCTCTTTGTCAGCACATTTTAGCAAGTGACAGTGGCCTCTATAAACTGCTTATGTTCTGCCTTCATATGTAGAAAGCGTGTCCCTTATCATAAAAGGGCCATCCACATTTTAGCATAATTTCATAAGACTGTGACTCTATTGTCATGGGAAGTAAACAAATTTAGTTCTTCATCCAACTCACATAGGGGCTCTTTACATTTCTGCTGGATGATGAGGTTAATCGCCCAAGAGGATGACTCTACGAAAAACAGGCATTGTCTACATTCTGTATGGACTTTTTCTGTCTCCTGTGTTTTGGGGCCTGCGCTTTCAAAAGCATCACCAGTGTCCAGCCCTCCAGCGCACTCAGGCTGAGCAGCACATGGGTGACATCAGCAGTCTTTCCGACCTCTGGGCCACGCTTCACGGGTCTGAGAGTGTCCAAGCTCCTGACAGCTAGCAGAGGAGCAAAGGCACAATGACCGGAGCAGCACAGGGACACAAGCAAGCCTGATTTTCAACATGGAGCCCTCATGACACAACTTCCAGGAAGGTAAAAAGGTATAATTCTCATGCATGCTTGAGTGAGTCTAGATAGATAAACAGAGGAAGAGCAGAAGGGGGGCATCCACAGAAAAGCTCTGCTTGGTTATCCAGTAACATTTGTGTTTCGGTTGTATTGGATTCTTTTCGGTTCCCTGAGAATAGCTAAAGGGCAGCGTTTTAAAGTAGCACATACAAGTTTTGTCTTTCACCACGTTAAGGTTGACATCAATGAACTTTGGAGTTAGAACATGTTGCCTTGGATTCTGGCTTCTCTACTTGGGTGAATTGACTGGACTTTATGAGTTGCCTCACTGATTGAAGAGAAATCAGAAGAGGTGCTTTGGTACAACACAACGAATACGGGTTTGGGGATCACACAGACCTAAGCAAGTATTCTAGTTCTTCTTTTCGTCAGCAGCATGACTCTGGCATGCCACCTGACTTGACTGAGCCTCGTGCATGTCCTTGATAAGAAGGGGCAGATAATAGCTAACTCCAGGGTGGTGGCCAAATTAGGAAAAAAAAAAAAAAAAAAAAAAAAGATGTTTGCATGGCATGTGCTCGCTCATGTGGCAACTCATTAATTTCATCAAGTTTTTGTGAAGGCCAAATAAAATTATGGATTGAATCAAAGTACTTAAAAAACTTGAAAGCATTCTCAGCATACATATGACTTATATTGAAGAATATCAAATTATATAAATATGTGCCTGTTACATAATTACATATTTAAAGCAAATTGCATAATGAAAGCACATTGAGTGGCCATTTTTACAGAGCCTTTATGAGTCTGTTATTGTTATTAGCATCATCACAACTGCATTCACTGAGCACCTGCCAAACATTCATTTGCATCTCATCATAACAGCAACCCTTGAGGTGGGTGCTTTTAATACTTTTCTCCTCTTGTAGATGAAGACATGAAGATCAGAGGCATTACATGACCTACACGTGGTCATAAAGCCAGGATGTTTTCAAGTTCAGGCTGGCGGGCTCCCACAGCCGCTTACCCACTCACAGACTCTGTTGCTCTCTTGGTGCGCTGTTAGTCAATTAAAATGAATGATACGGCAGCTGTAATGCTTACTTGGATCTACAAGCTCCCAAGGATAGAGCTGATGAGAACATGGCAAAATTAATTCAAAGGACATTTTAAAAATGCTTCTTCTGAAGATAGGACAGCTCCCCAAAGCCTGGAACTCTTAGGTGGCCCCTTAGCCTTCGGAAACCCACCCTCAGACTGACCTGTTCGTGACCATAGTAAGCGGCGATGTGCAACGGCGTGAATAAAACCGCATCTTGAATGTTGACATTGGCTCCGTGTTGCAGCAGCACGTCGGCAACCTGGGCAAGAAAAAGACCTCGCTTAGGAGCGTGGTTGGGGCATCCGCCCATCACTCAGTTTACAACCCATGCACTCGTCTCCATCAGGAGTCATCATCCTGAAACACAACCTTCCTTCGTTTCCCTTATCCAAAACCTTCAGTGTCTTGCTTTTTCCTAGAAAGTAGACCAGACTCCCTGAGTATGGCATTCAAGGTCCCTTCCAAGTGGCGGGTTTCTTTCTTCATGTCCGTCCCATTCGTCTCTTTCATAAATTCCACTCTACAGTCAAACTGCATTCAGTTCCTTCCTCCTTGGAGGCTTTCTTCCACTGTTTCATCAGCCAGATACTTTCTATTGCCCAAGATACAGATGTTTAAACTCCAGCTAAAATGCCACCTCCTTCAAGATTTTCATAATTTCCCTTTCCTCACTGCCATCTGCCTGGCTGAAATTAAATCTTTCCTGCTCCTAAATCTCATATAACTTTTACTCATACAATTTAGAACATCTTGGAGTTTATATTCATGCCCTGTTATCTCTACTAAAGAGTAAATTCTTTAAAGACAGTGTGCACTGGATTTATCTTTATAATCGTACCCTAGCTGGTTGTCATGCAAATAGTAATCATTCAATAAACATTTGTTGAATAAATGAATCAATTAATAGACAAGTGTAAAACCCTACCAGGGACTGTTGGCCAACTGTGTTCATGAAAAGTCATGGACTGTCAATTGTAGGGCAGGAAAAAAAACATTACCTAAGTTCATTGGCTGGGGCCCTGAAAATTAGACTGGCAAAGGTCAGAGAAACCAGAGAAAAACCAACAGAAGTTGATTAACGTGCACCTGGCACATCCACATGTGAGCACTCCACGATGAGTCATTCAGAGTGGTGGTTAGGACTTGGGCCTATACAGATCTTAACAAAAATGTACAAGGGGTTTTGGAGAGAAGCAACAAGACAAACAAAAAGGAGCTCTTATGGGCAGCGAATTGGGGGAAGATGGATACATACAGGAAGCAACAAGACAAAGGCTGTTTTAGCAAAGTTTGTTATGTGGTCTCTTCTCATGCCTTCTTGGGGGGTCTAGAGTTGTCCCAGTGAGCGACTTCTCTCCGTCGGGTAGGAGAGGGTAGAGGGATGCCTTTACAAACATATGTCCCCTTTAGGCAAACAGGGGAGAGAAAAGAGCTTTGCTTATATCTGTTTCTTTTTCATTTTCTCTAGCTCAAAATAATCAGTGACAAAAATTGCATATGGAGGAGTGTCACATTTTGCCACCCTTCACAATAAACCTGCTGACTCTTCAGATTTCTTCTCCCAAAGACCTATCTCAAAGTCTCTCTTTTCTGTACAACAGATTGGAATCGTTTCTTTCAGATGAGTTCAATTTTCACTGTGGACTTTCCTAATGCGCTGTCTTTTCTTCAGTTGGGCAAGTAATACATGTAGAGAAAATGTTTCAAGTTGATTGGAAAAGAAACAAAACGACGAGAGGCAAGAGCTCGAGAGACTTGTTCTATCACCTCTTTTATTCCTGTAAACAAATTGCCTCCTGAGTCAAGTTGCCTCACACAGGCGAATCGTAACCCTTCGGAAGTAAAGAGAGACCATGGGCGTTACATATCAAATCTCAAGGTTTTAAAGAGGAAGACATTAAGAATCAAGGATTTAAAATTTTTCTCAAGGTCATAGGGCAAGTCAGTGCCAACAGGAAAGTAAATGTTTGGTGTCTTGCCTCAAGCTTTGTTTCTGAGTGTACCATCATTTTAAATAAGTTATTAGCCTCTCTTTTATTAATCCATTAAACACAATGTATTGAGCATATGTGAACTAAGACAGTTATAAATACCTAATCTCATAATTTATTCTGTCAGTGGGATGGCATTAGAATTGATTATACTTGTCATACAAAATGAATATGAAGTTTTTATTGAAATACCTACAATTTTTGAGGGGTCCGGGTATATCAGCTTCTACATTCTCATAACAATATTTTGCTGATATTTGGACATTGCTAACTAGTGATCAGTAATTACACAATGCGTACAATGAGTTGTTTTGTTGATACAAAAATTAAAATCACGATGAACATTTATTGAGGGAATATTATGTATCAGTCCCTGAACCAAGCGTATTGATGGTAATTGGAGTCTACTCTGCTTTACACCAAAACTCAGAAAGATAAGGGCTATGCTCCCACTTTAGGGGGAAGAATCTGAGACTCCAGGAGGCTAGGTAGCATTTTTAAGATCAGTCATCCAGTAAGGGGTGGAACTGAAATTCAGATCCAGGTCTGTCTGACTTCGAAGTTTGTTTCTACCATGGCGCTCCTGTGACCTTGATCTCATTAACACTAACCTTTAAGTAAATGAACTAAGTGACTCAATCCCAGACAGAGGAAGCCATCTGTCAGTAGACGCTCTGCGGATTTGGATTGTTAATGAATGCCTGGCCATTTATAACAAGTGCCTGGTGTCTTAGGCTTCACATGCCTGGGAGTTCAATCTGAGGAATTGAAAGGAGACCACTGGCGATCAAGGTAGATGAAGCTTTTCACATTCTCTTTTGCCTTAAATATAGCATAAAATAAAGTAGATGGAATGAATTTTTATTGTACAAAGAGCTTTCAAATGTTAACATATAGAGTCAATTTCTTAGGCATGGTTCCAGAACTTACTTTCATTCTAAAAGATAACAGCTCTTGGGCTTCAATAAATAGTCAAAAGCAATTTTTTTCCCCTCTAAGTTTGCACTTATCCAGTCACTCAGAAGGTCAACCTTTTGGCTGAACATTCATTAATTATGAAGTGTTGGCTTTCTGAGAACTGTCAAGATGTAAGTTTTAATGAAACCACACAGAGTCATTATTATACTGTAAGCTCTACTTAGTTTGTTTTAAAAGTCAAGGAAATATTTAACCATTGAGAGCAATGTACATTAGAGTTATCTGATTTTATTTCTATGGGTTGGTGCATTTATTAATTTTTATGATTTCTGGAGTCACAATGGGCAATGTCTACCAACATTCTTATAGGAATATAGTACATTGTGATGTGCAAATATGCCTGTCCTGTGGGCTAAGACATCAACATATATCTATATTGTTTTACCTATGCTTTGCCTACTCCAGAACCTGAAAATGTTGGTAAATCACCTTCACCTCTCTCCACTACATGAAGCCTCATGAAGTCACAGACTAAATCTATCTTATTCACCAGTATGGTAGATTTATAATAAGCATACAATGATTGTTGAATAGAATTCTATGTCTAGTAAAGTGAAAAACTGGAAGGGATATTTACCATCAGGCATAAGGAAATTTAAACATTAATAATTAGGATCCAATTATATGATATAAATTTTTAAATAATTCAATTTAACAAAGATTTATTTCAAATTAACCTTTAGCAAACCCCAAGTGCTTGCTTCATACCAGGAGCTGTGATTAGAGTTCTAAATTCATTATCTCATTAACATTTTTGGAGGCCATAGATTCTGTTGTTTTACTTTTTTTTTTTTGAGTGAATGTATGGTCATGATTTTTTTTCTCAAAAACAATAACAGAATTATTAGTAAAATTAGAAACTAGAGAAAAATCTTATCACAGATAATTTAATAATCTTTAAACACTTTAAGGATATGAACTGTATCATACTTAGACTTCTATAACTGATACATATGTACATATATGTATCATTATTAAAGAAGTAAGTTTCAAACATGGGCTAGTAAAACTTGATACCTTTCACTGATGAAAGAATAAGAACCACAAAGTGCCTTCGATGAAGCACAGAAAATGAATCAGAATTCCTTATTTTGAAAGTCGAGCATTACTCTATGCACTACCCTTTACAGATGTTTTTATTTACCAGCTGATTATTGAAAAGCTCCAAGTAAGTCCCTTCAGTTTCTAGGTTGTAATTTAAGCCCTTACTTGCACATTCAGCTTTTTCCTCCTGGAAAGTCTTCCCTTCTCGCTCTCTGCTTGCCACACACCCAGTTTCATGGCCAAATTTAGTTCAAAACCTTCTGCAAATATTTCATTGTATTGACCATTTCTTTCTCTGAATGTGTATATAACTTATCTTCGTAATATAATCTTTTCAGTAATTAACACTGAGGGTAAACCCCTATTACATACCATTTTAACTTTTTTCTTATTTTCTAAAGTTGTCTCCACAAAGTATAAGAAGTTTTGATTCCAGGCGAAATTTTTTGCCCGAGGCCCTGGGGTTTATCTTTCTAATGAAACTAGCCAGACCTTATCATTCAAATCCCAGAGATGCTAAAAGTCATGCCTATAAGAGCAAAGGCCCTCACTGCTCTGGCTTGTTAAATGCTTTTCCTGCAGTATGACTTTAACTTATTTCAGTTGGTCCTATTGAGCTCCCCTTCTATATTTTATCTTCTGAAAGTCATTGGGTAGGGATAAAGGAGAAAAAAATGACCACTTGAAGAGGAACTAAATGTCCCATGGAAGAGAAAGTAGAACACGATAAATTCTAGATGAAATAAAAGGGCAACCAATCTCAGCTGAAATTGCCAAAATCAAATATAGTGTCTTCTACCTAGTGGGCTTTCAATAAATATCTACACTTGGAAATTAAATTTTTCTTTGCTTTAAGTGGTATTTCATTTTCTATTACTTCTTTGGCTCTTCTTCAAATTCATGCTTATACAATGTTTTCCTTGAGATTTATAGTTTGTTTTTAAGTCACAATTTTCTCTATGCCTGTATCTAACCTTTATTATTGAGATTTATAGGGAGCAGAACAATGAAACTGTACATTTCCATTTGGTGGAAAATCCGTATGAGTAAAACTCGCGAGAAAAAACTGTTTTTCTAAAGCCTATGACTCATCAATTCAAGATGATCCCAAAGACATTAGTATGGAAGTTGATTTAGGTTTGACATTTTCCCAGTTATTTTCCGTTCTAACATTCAATGACAAGTTTCCAGTTGTTCTGCCCTTGAACTGTTGCCCTGTTTCCTCAACTTTACAGACAATTTTCTT